CATTTTACTGATCTAAACTATACATCAGAAAAGAAAAGAAAACTAATCTACACTAAAATACAGATATCAAACATTCAGAAGGGAGGGCATGATTATTGCTGTACCAGAAATTTGACCAATGAGTTCTATAGGTGATGCCATTGTAAATGATGAAGGATTGAGTGAAAGTGTTTGTACTAAATGTGGAAAACCAGAGAAAACTCAGGCTACAATGAAGTTATCTTTGATGTTGTTTAACATTTTTCATAATTGTAATTAATTACATCTGTCCAGCCAGATATTGTGAACTGAGGAAATATATTATCAAAAAGGAATGATAATAAACCAAGGGTGAATTGTTTGTTTTTTATGATAGTATTGATTGATGATAAGAAAGATGAAGGAATTATCCCTTTTAAAAGGTCAATGAAATATAAATTATTATTATTTGAATTATAATCCCATATTGGAAAATAATTCACATAGATAACAGGTGTATAATTATTAGGTCTATTGAGTTCTTTTAAAGGAGATATAAACGAATGTTTGTATTCTTGTATAATGGTTATAAAAGATTTAATATTATTAGGATAGATCCAAATGTAATCAAAGTCTTCAATAACTGAGTGACAATGAAAACAGTTATTCAAGAGATAGGTTGAGAATATTGAGCATTCATTACTGCTAAAGTGGAAAGTAGTTGTAAAAGCAATTTAAGTTTAAACTGTTTTCTTTAATAAGCATCAAATGATATGACCCTAGCATTTTTTGAGTCATTAAGAATATAAAACAAAGTTTGCCAATCAATTTGAAAATTGCTATATTTAATAAGGTATAAGAGAGTCAGAAAGCTTCAGCTTAAGAGGCTTGTTGTAAGTGTTTAATAAATAAATGAGATGGAGTAATGATTAATGTGTTATTGTAACATAATATATATTTAGGTCTCAGGTGATTAATGTTGATGCATAAAGGAGTACTAGTAACTTGTTTTGCCAAGAGGCTGACTCAAATGTTGAATTGATCATTTTCATGAGCTTTGACTTTGGTGAATGTTAATTTGATATTATGTTTGACTATGAGATGCAATATAGTTATTCAAATATGAAAGCAGGAGATCTTAAATATAGGATTGAGAGAAGGAAAAACCTTACAGAGTTTAGTAATCTTATTATATGATGTGATTGCAACTTGTGAATTAGTATAGATTTCAATATTGATATTATATAGCGATATATAGACAATAGCGGGGATAGCAACTATCACTGCCAATATTAAAGAAGAAAAGTATAATACAAGTATAGTAGTAAATGAAAGTAAAGATTAATTCTAGTCAGTTTATAATCACGTAATATCCATCTGGCAGTTAAAAGATCCTAGGATGTAAGAGAACTATCTATATAAAATTAGAGAAAATCAGCATTAGTAAACTGTAATTTAAGTTGATCTAATCTATTGATTGAAGATTAATCAAAGGAGAGAATCATTAAATTAGACGAGGTTTAGTTGGATATTGATAAAGGGAAGTTAAGATTGATAAAGCTAATTCTTGAAACGTAAGATGAAAAAAGCTATACCGTTATTTCTCACAAGGTTTATAAAATACTTTAAATATAAAACAATATGTCTTCAGTAATTTGATAACACAGAAACTATATCTTTAATGTTGTTTGTATAGTATAAAAATAGAATGATCAAAAAGATTACATCTGATGTAAGAAATAATAGATGTTCAGTGACATTCTGAATGCATTGGTAAATAATGTTATACATGTATGTTAGTATCTTCTTCTTTAGTTATTTTTTCCAAAATGTAGGTCATGTATTGGTTAGACCAAATAACTACAAAAGTTGGATTGGTTGCTGACGTTACAAAATTGGTAGGTTAAATCAGTGCTTTATTAGAGATGCATGAGGAAGGTATCTAATAGACATTTGTTTAGTGTTATTATTGTTGAGAAATTTTGATTCTAGTTGAATAAACCATTTAGCACTATGGAATATAAAGTCATAGATCATATTAAGATCAAAAGTAGTGAACAAGTTAAAACCATTCATTATTGAGAGTTGATTGACGTATAAAATTGATAACGTATGTAATCTGTAAACATTTTGCCAGTAAACTTTTGGAATAAAATTTGTGAGAGCAGAGTTATGCTATCTTCAATTTGTCTTAAGTAGTAGTCATTATCCATACATTATTAGAAGATAATACCATCATGCTTAGTAGCTAAAACTAACCTTTCTATTTTGGTAATTTTTATAATAATCAATTTTATACCAATCAAAATTAATAATTATGTGATATTTCAAAAATGATTGCATTATAGTTTTTGATGTTATTAGATTAAAATGCATTAAGCTCTTAATATTAGTCAAAATTTCTCAAAACCTAATTTTCCTAAAAATCCTCCCATATAATGATTTTGTTATTCTATCAATCTGACTTGAAAATATTGCTCAATTCTTTTTCCAATAAGGATAGGTTCAAAAGATAAATTACAATTTTAAGATGCAACTAAGGTATCAAGTAAGTTAGTAAACATTCATTATATTATTTATAAAGTTTCTTGAAAAAATAAGAATTTTTTCTCATTTGGATCGCCTTTACTCCAAAAAAATTTTTTGAAGATAATGTGTGTGTGAAATTAAATCATGAAATTTTCAAAATCTTTTGTTATCTTAAGAATAATAGACCTTTTTTTAGTGATGCAAATTTTGTAGATTCAAAAAGAAATTCAGGATATTTACAAATCTCTTCAAAGCAATAATTTTTTAAATCTTTAAAAGTATCATAATTAAATATGATTCAAAATTTCTAATGTGTTTATTTCTTAAATATTTAGCTGGATATTCGATCAAATAAGGTAGCTATTACAATAAAAAGATACAACTTACCAACTTACCTTTATTTTGTTTTGATGAGTATATTTTCAATGTTTTTTGATTATAATTTGCCCTTTATTAATATATAATATATATATATCTATCAATATTATTGTATCAATGACATATTTTAAAAGAATTTATCATCATTTAAAATTAATAAAATTTTAAAATTAAAAGAATATTTAAATATATAAAATTATGAATATTGCATATTTATTAAGATATTCAGAATGAATAAATAAATATATATATATATATATATATATTTTAATATTGTCTTTGATTAGATATTATAATACTCTCTAATTTGTGCTATAAATAAATCTTTACTTTTGAAAGCCAAATCAGAACCTATAAATGGCTTAAACTATTACACAATTTAAACTTTATTGCGGTAAAGATTTCTATCATTCTTAACAATTCATGCAGTTAAATATATTTTATAAAAAACTCAGAAATATTTATCCAATTATTTTTTACCACTTATTTTCGTTATAACTACAGTATATGAACATTTATACTTTATATTGAAGTCTATCTGAAAACTTCAAATTAAATATTCCCAACAAAAGTTTACACTTATTAACCACATGAGTGAATAAGAATCCAATATTAAAAAAAACATTCATTTATTAATCCTCCTAAATTTTCGTCATCCTGATCAAATACATCGCTGTAATCACAATTAGAATTCCCAATAACTGTTTCTACATATTTAATGTTTTTAGATTTGTATGAATTATATAATCTTACAATTATATTAATAATATTAATAATTAAATTTAGGCAAGATGATGAAAATGAGTAAAAGATTATTATTCCATAATGATAATGGTTGTAATATGAATAAATCTTTATTAATAATAATAAATAATATAAAATAAATTTAATATTTAATTCGATAAATAAAATGAAATTAAAATAAACGAAAGAAAAAAAATATACTGTATACCTGGATAAGTACTTGAGGAATTTCTTTGAAAAATAAATTAAAGAAATTTCCAATGATAATTGAATTTAAAGTTTTTTCAGAAAATTTAGCATTAAAAACTTCATATCCTCCAATTTTTGATTCAAATAAAGTTAAAACTTCAATATCGGCTCTTGCTAATAAAATGATTAATGATATTTTTTTCATATTATTTTTCGACCATTCTAAAAGTTCCTCATTTTTTCGTTCTTTCATTATAATTGAAAGTATCCATCCTAAACTTACTATGAATTGTAATAAAAATATACTTATAGGAAATTTTTATTATTTTATTATTTAAAGTTTATACTTTTTTTAGAAATTTATATAGAAATGTTTTATTTACCTTAAACTAATGGTACTTGCTGTATCACTAACTAAAAAAAGATAAAGAATATAAATAACAGTGTCAAACATAAGATTTAATTGTAAAATCTTAATATTCTTTGCCTAATTAAAAAAAAAATGATTTTAGCATTTGATTTATTTTAGTCAAATTATAGTCATGATAGTTACCTCACTATTTTTACGTTTAACCCACAAGAAAAGTAAGGCCAGTACGCACACGTATATTATTACTACAATGAGATATGTCCACCACGGAGTTGTCATGGGTTCTATTTTTGCAAATTCAAAATTTAAATCATATATGTCGTGTCGTGAATTCTCCTTACATAAAAAAAAATAACAACTCTCATAAGATAACGAATTCTTACCAATATATTCAAATCCAAACTGTTCATCTAAATAACTTGTAAATTTACCGGAACCAATAATAGTTACAGATTTAAATCTAATTAAATAATTTAAATTAATACATATTCGATAGCCATAAATATAAATATCAATTGATATTTTGATTTGGGACGACGTGTCTATTTTGGTAGCAGTTATAGAAACTAAACTTCCAATTGCATCAGTTAATTCTTGTGATAAGTACGATTCAAAATTCTATTGTTCGGTTTTGTTAAGTTTGTTAAAATAATTAGTCCCTTCTGGTGTCAATTGAACATATCCTTTATGGACAGATACTTTCAATACAGGGATTTCATCACTAGGAACTATTTAAGATGACAAATATTTAAATCATTTTGAAATCATTTAAATTAGAGAAATTTATATAGCACATACTTGTTTTAAAATACCATACACCTTCTTTTGCACCACCGAGAGGCGTCTTCTTAATTCTGTCCTTTACAAAATCATCATCAATTGAGACATAGTAAATTTCATCGAATACCAAAGGAATTATTCTAACATGAACAGTAATTCCGTTCTCGTCTAGAGTTACAAATTCGTTGTTTGTTCCAGAAATTCTTTGAAGTTTATTCCAATTGTGAAAAATTGTAATATTACCAAGCGATAAATCAACTTTATCATAATATATTATTGTAAGGGAAATTAAATTAGATGAGATATTATCATTAATTTGCGGAAATGTGGTATTAATATGCAAATTATTATATCCATGGTCTAGAACATTTTGTGAATTTATTGGCAAAATTATCAATGAAATAATTGATAAGGTTATAAAATTATTAAAGTTCATTATCTTCATTTGAAAAAAATTCTTGATAGTTTTATTCATATAATTTTTCAATTATTCAAAAAATAAATAAAGATTCATGAAATACGAAGTATTTAAATCATTTGGAGAGCCCCATGTTGTGAAGAATAAATTTTTTATTTTTTCTAAAAAAAGTTTACTTTCGAATCCTGAATCATATATCGAAATGATCATTTGGGATATTCCAATCGGATTACGCAATTCCAAATGATTTGTCCAAATGGGGAAAGTCCGAGATCCAAGATGTTCATTTAGGATATCCGAAGTGAGCTTTGGAATATTATTCGAAAATGATCATTTAAGACATTCACGGATTTACCCGAAATATCATTTCGGTCATTGACTACAAAAGAATTAACATATACTGTATAATCTCGAACGTTATCTTAAAACAATCATTAGCAAATAATGTGATACCAGTGGGGTGCGCTGTCAACATAGTTTAACAAAACTATATATAGTCCTATAGTAAAACTTATTATTAGAGATTTTTTGACGATCATTTTTAACTTCGGCCATTTTTCTAATAAAATAACCGAAATCTTTAAAATTTTATAACTTTGTACTCTATTAACATTTAAGTAACGCAGTAAAGGTGAATGGGTACATGATAACTTTGAGAAACATAAATACATCGTTTTTTTTTCAAATCTTACGTAAAAAAAAAAAAGCTTTATTTTTATTTAGAAGGTTTAATTTATTAATTTAGGAATATTAATGAATTTTTTTTAAAAAAATAAAGCGATCTATTTTGTGAAAGAGACGGATATTTGGAGTATTTTCGAAAAATCTGAAATGAAAATGATAAGAGGGTTCCAGAGTTATTAAAATAAGAAAATATAGTTTCGTAAATAGTAAATTTATTATAAAATAATTTAAGTTATACTATATAATGGCTTGACATAAAAAAATCATCAATAGTAATTTTTGTTATAGGACCATACATAGTTTTGATTAATTAGTTGAAAGCGCACCCCAGTGATACAGGAGATGCTCTTGCTAAATTTAACATCTTGAAACAATATAACGATAAGGAAGGATTATTATACTTGTCAAATTTTTTTTTTAACAATAATAATATCACAAAATGATACAAACCGCTTTGTTCATTTTCACAATGTATGTTTCATTTCTTTTGTTTGTTAATATAAGATCTATAAAATCTGCAATTCGGATAGATCATCTATAAAGATGATCAGCGATACTTTTGTCATTTAACAATATCGTAAAGGATTTGCAACTAACTCCTGTGAAATTAAATTAAATCAAATGTAATGGATTTCCAAACTTTTACAAATATTAATACATCATCACTTAATCCGTACGAATGTATAAAATTTCTGATATTATTATATATACATTTGATAAGAAAATAACGATTGAAAAAAAAAATCACAAATCATTGTAAAATATTGCAAAATAGCAATGATGACGCCATAGAATTCATAATTTTTTGCCGCCATTTTTTTTCGTCGGATATAACTTATATATTAATTTCAGGCACTAAATTAAGCATTTATTTAATTTTAAAAAATATCAAAATTTGAAAAGATTATATGTAAGCATACAATGAGATGCTTTATTTATTATAAGAGGAGCTCACAAATGAAAAATCATTTTTTTATGAAAAAAAGGAAAATTTAAACACTCAAACGGACTGTCTTGCGTCCTGATATTAACCTGATTGAATATTTTAGGGATGAGATTAAGCGAAGCTTCTGAAGTAAAAGATCAAACCTGCTTAGAGATCGATTTCACTAGAAACGATTTAAAATTTGATTAAAACATGACGGTGGTCTATGCTGAATTATATATTTCTGCCCGAGTACTCATCGCTCTCTTTTAACATAATCGATCGTAAAGGTGCAAAAGCTTTTAAAACAATAATAAAAAAGATGAATTTACCACAAATGTTTTATTTAAGTATAAAAAAAATCCATATTTAGTTTCTCGAACGAGATTTTCCCATTTCTTTTTGCAGTCTTTTTGTGCGTGTTTTATTTTCCATTATGGCGAACCAATCTACTACTTCAGGCTGTCAAAGATAAAAAATTATTTTGCATAGCATATGTTAAAACGCATGGTTAATTATCGAAGAAGATCAAGGGATGGAAAATAATTTATCATCATTATCACTAATAGTGAACAGAAATTGGACGAGAAATATTCAAAATCAATAAATGAGATTTGGAGAACATCCGATTATTCCGGTTGATATTCCGCGGGGTGAAGATGTCATTAAGAATAAAATACCTGCATAGTTTGAATGATAGACTTTTGATTTTAAAACTCGAAAGTATTTAAACTTCAAGTTCTTGGCTCGTATCAAAATCGAGAATAGAGTTGCTCAAGTCATTGACTTCATTCCAATAGCTGGATCGGCGTATCATCTGATTTCTTCATGTTTACTATCAGATGGGAAAGTCAAATTTAGATAAAGAACGACTTATAAATGGAGTTACCGGGGTTATTATGGATATTGTGGGGTTAGTATTGTATCTACAAGAAAGGTAGTTGTTAAGGGATGCGTTGCACAAGATTAAAGGTGTTGGAAAAAGTGTTGTACAAAGTGCGTTTGAGTTGTACGAAATTTCGGAACTTTTATGCTAAAAAAAAAAATTTTACCGCCCGCTTTTGCTGCAATTATTTAATCTTCAAAAATATAAATAAAAAAATAACTAAAAAGATGACAAATCTGTTTGTAACCATTAAATCACCTATATATATATTTTTTTGTATTATAAATCATGTATGCTTATAATCCTATGTCACTTGTAAAGGTAGCCAGGAATGTAAAGAATCGATTCTCGAACATCCATTTTACCAAGTTGTTTCTATTTTTTCATCAATTCCGATTCCTACAAGTTAGTTAAATTTTTATAGTCATGTCTGCAAAAAATATTTTCGAATTGCAAATTTCCTTATACTTTGGAATCTTATTGATTGATATTGAATTTCGTCTGTTTCTTAAAAGTTGATAATTTATGACTTCTTCGGATAAAACTCATGCCATAATATTAGCATTTTTTGAAATACATAATAATAATTGAAAATGCGGCTATTTATACCTAAATATGGAAATTTTATTTAATTTGGTTATTAAGCCAACTTTGTGCCAATAAAAAAATATTTGAATCACTATTGATATTCCCGTATTTTTTCTTCGGGTTATACTTCGAAATATAAGGATAAGGTATGGAAGTACAAAATTTTTTATAACGAATTTTTGTCATTATTTAAAACTAAAAAGTTTTTTATTAAGAATCTAAAGTTTTTGAGGGTGTTTGTTATGTGAGGAATGTTTTATTAAAGAAAAAAAATAACAAAAGCTTTCAATCGTTATTAAAATAAAATATGAATATTAACTTTCAATTTTTTTCGAGAAGGCAATTCGATGAGGTGATTATTTATATTTCTTTTGGAATATTAAATCAAGTTGCGAATATTCCCATTCAAATTAAAGGAGAATGGAATGATCAATTACGGTAATTATTGATAAATGAACTGAATCTTCTTAAATTCGTACAACAAATACATTTGTATTGTGCAAAAATACTACATATACACATAAAAAAAGGAACCAACTTTTTTTGTTTTTATCTATTTGTCTTTATAAAAGAGGAGCAAAAAAAAAAAAAAACTTTCGAGATACTGTCCTTAAAAGACAAATTGTTGAATGTTTAAACAAATATATTCCACGCAAAATAAACAAATCTTTATTATATGCGATATTTATAATGAAGTAGTCATTTAAATAAATATGTAAAAGCAAATTGAAGGATGTTAATAAAATTACGAAGGTAATCGTGTTTTATTTTGTGAAATCTTTCTAGAGGTAAATTAAATGTGATTGATTTTGGAAAAAAAATAAATAAAATAAGCTTATCCTTTTTTTTCTGAAAAATAGAACTTTCGGGACATTTATGTGTAATTATGAGGATAACAAATTCTTGCAACTATTAGATGAACCGAAAACATATTAAAAAAATTTACAAGTTTTTGAAAAATTACATTTTTATATTTTTATTGTAATTTATTTTTGTACAAAATATTAAATTCTTATATTTATATAAATAGATACAATCGCTACATTTGTATTGCATGATCAACGAACCTTGGTATTCATTTAATCCAATGACACCAACTGAAGTCATTTCGGATGTACGGACGGATTAACAAAATCTCACAATCCCATAATATGACAAATATTTGTAAAAATAACTTTTTAAAAATGGACAATATTACTGTATTTCAACGGTACTTTCGAAATCTAGGTGTTTTTTTTTCAGCACATTGCCCTTCTCTTATCCCAGTTACAATTTCTCCTAACTATTACGAGAAGATCGTAATCTCATATATAATATAAATCCAACTACTGAGAAATCTGCGGATAATTATAAACATGTAATTCAAGATAAGAGTCAAAGAAATGTTTAAAGGAACTTACAACACCGATCTTCCATATATCTAACGGCCAGTGATAATACTGAGTTGCATGTAAAATGAATAAACAATCTAAACTTCACCAGTTGAGAGCCATAATTGCTCGTTAAATACTCATTACCCGAGAATTACTATTGGATGATTGGATGAATTAATTGCTGCATTTGAATAGTGATCTGAAAACCTTAATGATGAGGGAATTTGCCAGGATCCGGTATAGTTCCAATCATAAACACTTTTCCTAGGGACGATATTTAAAAAATTAATTATTTTTGATACATCTAAAGATAACAAATGCAATTTTTTCAAATAATTATCAATAAAAATAAAATTTAATTTATATAAAAATATTTATTTAATGATTACAAACTGTTTCTATAGTGTTCATTAAATAATAATATATATAAATATATTTTTGTAAAAAAAAAATCAATTTTTATAATAAAATTAATTTTAATTAATATCAGTAACTATATAATCTAATCCTTCACTTTCTTGATTCAAAATTTCATTCAACTTTATAGTATCATTATAATTCT